ACTTTGTGCAAATCCTGTACTTCACCACTAAAGGTGTTCTGTGTTCTTGAGTGGCCTGTGCTCTAGGTCAGCAATCCCAACATTTGCTGACCTAGAGAACTCATAGGAGTTCTGCAAATAATCTTTAAAACCCTTTTAAGATAATTTGAAAAAATTAACATGCCAGGGAATGAAGGCCTAATTGAACCTCAATGTACTTGTGCTGTGAAAACTAAACCTGAATCTCTTTATTTCCAAACCTACTACATTATACAAAACATCCAGGCAATAGGAGTAGACAAAATAAGGAAGATCTTTACGGGTTTGCACTTCTTAGAGACAGTTAGGGTTCTGCGGGGAAATTAGGGACAGAGTTAGGGTGCTGTTGGAGGAGGGGAGGGAAATCTTCTGAAGGTTTCCATGACTGAAAAAGTTTGGGAATTGCTGCTCTAGGTGATGTTTGTACATTGGAAGAAGAGTGGCATACAATTGCTGAGAAATAAAATAAACAATTAGTAACACATATTTTTCCTATATTAAACAACTCTGCACATCTAGTACCTACAGTCTATAAATTTTAGTAGTTAGGAAGCAGTAAGAATATAAAGCTATCCAACCATGCCTGTGTATGATTGCACCTTCAAATATTCTGTGAATTTAAGTGATCCCATGAAATTTACAGGGTTTTTCTAACATTAGACTTTCTAACATTAGACTTAAGGTACATCTGAGGCTGATTCAGAGCAGAGTAATTCAGATTAGACCTGGCAAATCTGCATGGCCAGCCTCTGAGCTGCTACATGTATACTGTTGGACTCAATTTGATACGTTGACAATGGGCTACACATGCAATACATAGATCTATGGACCAGGATGCTCTGTATTCACAGGTGTTGATGTCTGAATAAATAAATAAATAAACAAACAAATTTCTCTGAGTCCTAGAGACTTGTACTCAGAACAATGGGTTCAAATTATAGAAAGGATATTCCAGTTAAACATTAGGAAGAACTTCCTGACTGTAAGAGCTGTTCAGCAGTGGAACTCTCTGCCCCGGAGTGTGGTGGAAGCTCCTTCCTTGGAGGCATTTAAGCAGAGACTGGATGGCCATTTGTCAGGGATACTTTGTGCTTTTACTGCATGTCAGAGGGTTGGATTGGATTGCCCATGTGGGCTTTTCCAGCTCTATTCTGTGAGTGTATGACTCTTTTGTGGTATGTATGTAGTCCTATATAGTTAGCTGACAGCAATCATCATGATCTACATACCTGTATATTTACCGGATTGTTATTTATGCCTGCATTGTTGGTGAGGTTAACATCCACAAGGTCACAGGGATCTCTTTCTTGCCTGCGGTCTTTGATTATAGGTTGGATATCAAGGAGGGTTGCATTCCCACAATCAGGAGAATGATTGGTCTTTTGCTTATGCCTTTGAATTCCTGATGCCACATGCCAGGAAGTTATTAGCACTATGTGTGTATGCCAGGCTTATTTGCTTGATTTGCTTATACTTGGGGTAAGTTAAAGAGCACTGTAATTCTATGATTAAAGGTTGGTGGCCTATTATAAAACCCTGTTTTCATCAATTTATAACCTCTGGGGGCTGAAAGGGAGTGTTTTCATGAAGATACTTGGCAGACAAGATCTCATGACTTTGCTTATGGTTGCGAGATGGGTTTTTTTTTTAAATCTGTTCTTCTTTAACAATACCTAATAAATGGAAAATGCTCCAGGCGTTTACATTTTTTACTTTAAAAGTTTCCTTGCTCATACACCATCTCACTTTATTTTTAGTGTGACTTACTAATTCACAGAAGTAATATCCAGTTCATTACCTTTGAAGATCAAGCAAGTACTTGTAAATAGTATTGTAAATAGTGCTTAGTTCTAAATTTGATCAATTGAAAGTGAATATTGGAAATAGTACATAAAATATAAGAAATCTCTTCATACTAAGATGCCTTGTTCAGTATTGTTAACATCAGCATTCCCTAAACTGGTGCTGTCCAGAATTTTTGGATTACAGCTCCCTTCAGCCTCAGACAACATAATGAACACAGGTGATTGAAGTTGTTTTGGCTGGGGTTAGTGAATGTATTCTGATTTTTATTTGGAACTATAAAGTTTGCTGTCCAAGTTGCAGAATTTCTAAGAGGGATTGGGTCTGGTACCATAGGTTCAGACTAAAACCCAGGTTGGATTTACCACTCCATCATCATGGAAACCAAACATATCCTGGGCTCCAGATTGAAAAGGAGAATCTACAATCGTTATACAGTACGTGTGATCTACAATCTCTATAGAGTACATGCAGTCTACTCTTATATTGGGCAGCTTAAGACAATAATCTTATGAACTGTGGTGCTGGAGGAAAATTCTGAGAGCGCCTTGGACCACAAAAAGATCAACCCAGTCCAGACTACAGGAAATAATGCTCAGCTGCTCACTGGAGGGAAGGATATTAGAGGCAAAGATGAAGGACTGTGACCACATAATGATAATATAGGAAAGCTTGGAGAAGATAATGATGCTGGAGAAAATGGAAGGAAAAAGGAAGAGAGGCCAACCAAGGGCAAGATGGATGGATGATATCCTTGAAGTGACTGGCTTGACCTTGAAGGAGCTGGGGGTGGTGACAGTTAACAGGGAGCTCTGGCGTGGGCTGATCCATGCGGTCATAAAGAGTCAGAAGAGACTGAATGAATAAACAACAACAAGACAATAATGGGAATGGCAATGGAATGAGATTGTCTGAAGACATTTTTCTGCTTGGATTAAAGGAACAGGCAGTGCCCCTTCCAATTCCTTTCTACAAAAGTAAAGCATTGTAACTGTGCTTCCATGTATTTTTAATTTAATTCATTTTACTTAAGTTTAATTTAAAATTATATAGATTTAAATCTTCTCTCCTCAGCTCTATCACCCTCCAATCAGTAATTATAAGTACTTTAAAATAATAAAAAATACCATTGGTCCCAGTGTGTAGTTTGGTACACATATAGCTGAGGGCGGGAAAGTTCTATAGATTATTTCTGTGGCAATAAAAGCAAAACAAGGCAATGTCTAACTGTGAGTAATTAAAATATCAGAATAGATGACTTATAATTACATACATAATAAGATGACTTCTGTTTTATTGTGTCCATGTAGTTTTGGGTGTATGCTGCAGAAAATTTTGTAATCGGTCATTGTTACAAGATTTGGCTAATACTGCTGAAAAGTATAATAATAATAAAAGTTTAGTCTACATTTTGAATGCATTCTATTCCAGGCATGATATATTTAGCTTTTGTTTCTCTCAGATACGCCTTTCTGTCATGAGCGTAGAACTTGTCTTGTGCAAGCAATTATTTGATCATCATGGAAAACCTTAAATATAAGCTCCATGTGAGGACTTCTTCCATTTATAATAAAAGTGCTTTCAAAAGTGGGGATGGCGAGGACCGAATATACAGCAGATGTGAAAGTTTTGCTTTCACATTGAGATAGGTTTGTATTCTCTCAGCAAGTGTGGGCCCAGCGTTGTCCAAGGAAGGCTTAGTGTGCCAGATGTTGTATATGATTAGAGATGTTGGACAGCTGTTTCCCATAAATGAGTAGTAAATCTACTGGATCTTTCATTTTCAGAACTACTTTAAAGGATGTTACTACAATGGACTTAATTTACTGTGTGTATCAGTTTGCAGCAAGTAGCATGCATGCCAATATGTGTGCGTGAAGACTGCAAAAATATAATGACCCACCCTGCATGTTGAGTTATGCAGCATTAAAAAGAAATGTGAACTTCTGTCCACTTCTACACTGGTAAACTAATCTAGGATAATTATGCCTTGGGATCCAAAATGACCCAGAATGAGGATGTTTACTTGCTGAATCTGGGGCTATTTTTTTTCATTGTTAGGAGCAACTTGAGAAACTGCAAGTCGCTTCTGGTGTGAGAGAATTGACCCTTGGCAAGGATGTTGCCCAGGGGATGCCTGGATGTTTTGATGTTTTACCATCCTTGTGGGAGGCTTCTCTCATGTCCCCACATGGGGAAGTGGAGCTGACAGAGGGAGCTTATCTGCACTCTCCCCGGATTCGAATCTCTGGCCTGTCGGTCTTCAGTCCTGGTGGCACAAGAGTTTAACCAATTGTGCCATGGGGGCTCCATCTGGGGATATGCCAAGCAATAACTCCAGTTGGTCCAGTTAGGCTGAGACTGCACTTGCCTCATTGGCTTGTCTCTTTGTCCTTGTGTTGCTATCACTGCTGCTTCGCTGGTCACCTCTCCTGAAATCACAAGAGGCCAATCAACAAGAAGTGGATAGATCCCATGGCTTGGTGCCCCAGTCTGATTTCAGCAGATGTGACCATAATGACTACACTCTCACAGGGAACTTCCTGGCTAATGAAATCATCATCATCATCATCATCATCATCATCATCATCATCATCATCATCATCATTATTTGTTTTCCACTCTATTTCTCCAAGGGAGCTCTTATTCATTTCTGTCCATGCATTGATCAGAACAGGTGAAGGATGAGGATGATGGCCTCTTACTCCTTTAAAAGCCACCGGAATTTTTTTTTTCAGAGGCTCAAGGTTGCTGATCCTGATGTATAGTGCCCCTAAGTTGTTTTTGAAGAAAATCTTTTACAAAAAATGGTGAAATATCTCAATTGTATAGGTTTTATTTTGAAATACAAATTAATCCATTGGTTTAATGTCGGAATAATAATTTTGAATTCCTCAAAAGGGTGGTGCTAGGAATATATATTGCTTGAAGAAATAATCCAAGTTTTGAAATGTCTTGGTTTTTTTTAAATTTTCATGCTTTAGGGATGTGTGGTAGCTATTCCATGTAAATGAAAAGTTATTTCTGCATAAATTTGAAGGCATGAGTTGCCGGTATTTGTTACAGCTTTCACATTCTTTGATTGGTCCTGAGACTGAAAATCACTTTTGTGCAACCCCCAATGGAAAACTAAATTCTGATCTTGCATGTATTAACAAATACTTCATATTATGTTTCAGGAATTGGTCACAAGTGGATTTCCTGAATTTGTTAAAATTGTTGAAGTTGGTCCAAGAGATGGATTACAAAATGAAAAGGTAATTTAAAGATACATGCTACATTCTGGAATGAAGGTAGAATGCCATATTAGTCAAAACCTCAGGCAGGGAATTTCTGCTTTTATTTTTTGCACGAATATCTCACTCTCCATTATTCAGTCCATAAAGATTAGCAAACATAGGCATGGACTGCACAATTGCAGGGAAAAATAATTGAGGGGAAAACACATATTCATCAAGTAGGGTGAATATGTGTAGAAAGTGAGACTGTGTGGACTGAGGGTATTTGCTTCAACCAAGTGGCAGCAGAGCACGGTTACAGCAAGAGGTAAAAGGGACTGTTCCAATAATGGCACTTTTCTGTTTGCTTAAAAAATAGGAATGGTATGATACACAAGATGGTATTTTCTTTTGTTTTCTTTCCATTTATCTGTTAGCCAGAAGGCAAATGGCTGCAGTAGTGATATTAGACTGGCCCCCTTCCTCTAGGTTTTCAGGAAAAAAGTTAAGACCTGGCTATGGAACGAGGCATTTGGGGAGTAGTGCAATACCGAATCGAGATAAATGTAGCAGCACGAATGGCGACTATGGGACTAGGCACTATGTTTCAACTGTTTAAATTGTATTTTTTCTTCGTGGTCTCTGCGAATGCACACTTGTGGAGAGACTGCGCCTGCGCGGGCTCCAACGGAAACTTCTACATTTTAAAACTTTTCAAGTTTTGGCGGTAACCCCGCCCAGCCCCGGCAGGGGATAAAAGGGCGCCCCGCGCACACCGGTCCAATTCCTTTTTTTCCGCCGCACGGCTCGCTTCGGTACTTCTAGTTGGATAGATTCTCTACAGACTTTTCCTCGAGTTGTTTGACAGTATTATGTCAACAACTCGCTTCAAAAGATGCGCGAATTGTCCGAAGAAGATCCCTGATTCGGACAAGCACGCTCTTTGCCTTTTGTGTCTCGGAGAGGCACACATTACTTCTTCGTGTCGTCATTGTCAATCGTTGACGGCACAGGCCCGTAAGAACCGGGTCCATCGGCTTCGATACCTTCTGTACCAGCAGACGTTGGCTCCGGTACCTTCAACATCGACATCGGCGTCGACGTCAGCTGCGGTATCCAGGCCTTCGACATCAGCTTCGACGTCGAAGGGAGCATCGACATCAAAATCTGTCGATCCCTCGACGGAGACCGAGCCTCGCCAGACAAGGGCGAAGAAGGCTGCGCAGAAAAGGCCGAGAACAGCTATGTCGACAACTTCTAAGGCCTCGGTGTCGACAGTTTCCAAGGCCGCAAAGCCTACGAAGCAAAAAGCTCCATGCACGGTCACGACCGAGACCGTACGCATCCGGCACTCTTCGACCAGCTCAGCGGCGTCGGTGAGATCGATCAGGTCCACGAGGTCGACATCGGCGACTCCGCCATCTTCCACGGCGGTTCGCATTGCCTTTCGCCGGTCTCAAGAAGAATCTCGGCGCGCTTCCACCTCATCCTCCGTCCCGCCCACCCCGGGCAAGTCTATGTCGAAGACAGCTCAGCCGCCGGCAAAGAAGAAGAAGACGATGCCGCCTCCATCCTCGTCTTCTTCTTCTTCCCGAAAGCAAACCACCGCCTCCTCGGCCACCTCGTCGGCGAGGTCATCGCCGTTGCAGCCTGCTGAACCCCAGCCGGCCCCACAGCCTGCTCAGGAGCCACAACCTCTGCCGGAATTGCCTTCGGAACAACCCGAGTCCCCGGTGATCTCGGTGGACACGGTGATCGAGGCACCAGTTCGACATGTGACAGCCAGACAGGAGCTTTTCCCGTCGGTCACGACCTTGACAACTGTGATGGCAAGACAGGAGACTTCTCCAGTATTGGAGACTCCAGAAAGGGGCAGGCAGACTATGAGACTGGCCCGTGCCATCCAGGCTTCGGCCTCAAAAGCCCCCCCAGTGGCTCCACCGCAGCGCCCGAGTCGGGATGTCTCCTCATCCCCTCCTCCCCAGTCCGTGGCTGCCGATGACGAAGAGGAAGATGGCGAGTTACCGGGATCGGTACACTCGGGGTCTGTGTTATCTCTCGGGATCGAGAGATCACCCACTCATGACGCCTATGAGGCTGATCCTCCATCTCCCACAGACAATGTCCGAGCCTTTGTGGATCAAATGGCTCGCATGGCTGATGCCCTAGGCTTAGAGGTCAAGCAGACTTCCAAAGCAGTACAAGACCCGGTGTTTAAAAGGGTGCAATTGGAATCTCCACCCGCTCCTCTTCTACCCTTCCTTCCCTATCTCCTTGAAGTGATCCAGGGCTCCTGGAAGACCCCTTCCTCCATCCCTCCAACCTCTAAAAAAATTGAATCGTGGTATAGAACGGACGATGAGGGCTTGGAGTGGCTGAAACACCATCCCGACCCTAACTCGGTGGTCGTGAAGGCGGCTCAGGGGTTCGGAAGGCAATCATCGGCGCCTTCCAACTGTGAAGGGAAGAGATTTGACGCAGTCGGCAGGAAGCTTTACTCCGGTGCCCTCTTGCTGGCCCGCATGGCCAATTATGGTGCTTGCATGGGCGCATACCAACAAATTCTCTGGGAAAAAGCAGCTCAATTTTTCCAGAGAATGTCTGACGAGGATCGTACTGCCCTCTCCACCCTGGCTCAAGAGGCGAACTCTCTGGCGCATCATCAGATGCAGATGGCGAAACACACGGGGGACACTGCGGGCAAGATGATTGCTCACGCCGTGGCAATCAGGAGGCATGCCTGGTTTAGATCCTCTGGCCTCTCTACATCGTCGAGGCAGGTGATCGAAGACCTTCCGTTCGATGCCCTGGGGCTCTTCAACGCCGGAACGGACGACAAACTGAAGTCAAATCACGACTTCAAGACCTTGGCTTCTAAGTGTGGGTTCGAGAATCAGAACCAGGCGCAGAGGACCAGATGGTTCCAGTACAAACGCCGGCACACGGTCCCGTACCGCACCATACAGTACCGCCAACCAGCCCGTCCCCTGCATACCTCCCAATAAACCCACCCTCAACAACCCCAGCAGCAAAGGAGACAGCACCAGCAGCAGCGTTCGCGGTCCCGTCAAGCTTCTGGAGGCAATCAGGCTAGGCGCCGCATTTGACGCCCTAATGGACGATACCGTTTGCTCTTTCGTTACAGATGTTGTTCCTATGTCCCTCCTTCCATCCGGCTCGACACCGTTCGGGGATCGCCTAACAAACTTTCTCCCTGCATGGGAAAATATCACCTCAGATGCATGGGTTTTAAAGATTGTCGACGAAGGCTATGCATTGGAGTTCGAGGAGCTCCCACCAACAGGGCAGATTGTCGATACCGAACCATCCTCGGCAATTCTGACAGAGGTCGAGACCTTGCTTCTGAAAGGGGCAATTTCCCCTCTCCCGGACTCTCAAAACCATCGAGCCTTCTTCTCCAGGTACTTTACTGTCCCGAAGCCGGATGGCTCCCTCCGCCCAATCCTCGATCTCAGAGACTTAAACTCCTTCATCAAACCCCAAAAGTTCTGGATGGTGACGGTATCGTCCATTCTCCCTCTACTCAGATACGGAGACTTCTTCGCGTCCGTCGATCTCCGGGACGCTTACTTCCATCTCTCAGTCAGAAAACAT